TCATTCACATAGAGTATATATATAAAATTGATGAGTATATTTTTAAATAATTTAATTGATTACAAGTCAACAAAAATTTATAATCAATTTAAAATATTAATTAAAAAACATAATAATAATATATTAAATTCTAATTAAATAAATATTTTAATATAAATAACATAAATATGTTAATATAAATTCTAATATAATAACATAAATAATCAATTCAAAATAAATATAATTGAATCAACTATAAGAAATCCAGAAGACTGAAGCTTCATAAGACTAGCAGAAGAAATGCTAGTATTAAATTACACAACTTACTAGAATATGAGGCAATCTCCCCATCTTTTCACTAGTTATAAGATTAAAACTAAAATCTTAATGAATGAGCCAAGAAACAGACATATTATTAGAAATATCAATAATAAAATTACAAAAAAAAGAAAAAAAAAAGAATTATTAGCAGCACTATTATCAGCAAAAATGAAAAAAATTTTAAATTTAATATAACTAGAGAAAACAACACACTCATGAATATATATTAATAATAGTGAAATTAACAGATCTCGTATTCTATTTAATCCAAATCCTGCCATGATTAGGGCTGTCAAAAAAGCTCGTTGTTTGCGAACAGCTCGTGTTCGGTTCGTGAATGAGTTCGTGTTCGATTCGTTCGATAAGTAAACGAGACAAACGCGAACAAATTTTTTTCTTTCGGTTAGTTAAACGAACCAAACATGAACAGTGATGCGTTCGTTCGTGTTCGAATCGTTATTGTTTGAAATATAAAATAATATAAAACAATTATATATATATATAATTTATATTAATATACTATAGTAGTAATATACTAATATAGACATTGAATATTTATATAATATAAGTTATATAATTAATATATAATATTATTTTTATATATTAATATTAGGGATGTCAAACTGACTCGTCGTTCGCGAACAGCTTGTGTTCGGTTCGTGTTCGGCTCGTTCGTTAAGAAACGAACACGAGCTTATTTCAAACAAACTAAATTTTAAACGAACCGAACACGAACACAAGCTTTTTTCGTTCGTGTTCGGTTCGTTTACACCCTTAGCCATGATTAGCAGTACTGAAATTATTACAAATTTCTTCATTAGGAACAAAAACTTAAATCGATTCAAAGCACAATGATCATTTTAAATGTCATTGGAAGTTTCCAAAAGACAAAGAAGATCAAATTTATAATCCTTTAACAGATTCTTACAGTCAACAATACAGCCCTCTAACATTCCAAACAAGTAGTTTTGAAAAAAAAAAATAGAACTACAAAATCAAGAAACCAAAAATTACTTACTTTTCTTTCCTAGCTCGAGACCAAGCAATATGGAAGATATGAGAATCTTATGACGAGCAATACTTCCAATAGAAGTATTAGGAATAATATGAGCAGTAAAATTGTGATTAATTGTCTTAGAAGACTGAATACAAATATAATTATTATTAGTAATCTCAGTTAGCTAAATATGAGAAATTGGATCACCAGAACAATTATTAGGTTGAATCAAATCACTACCAACGTTACTATTAACCACATGAACTTCTTAATTACTAATATTTTTAGAAGAAATTTTTGTGATATCTAAAACAGGCAAAATAGGGACAATATTATCATTCTTCTGCATATCATTGCTATTAGAAATTGTGTCAATAAAGATGTTTAGATCAAGGGTAATAGTATCAGAATCATTTGGAACATTAAAAGCATCTAAAAATACCACCAACAATGCCAACATTAATAATATTAATATTACTATTCTTCACATTCAATGCCTGAAAAAAATAAGTAACATTAACAAATTTATGTTGGCATTATTTTTTTGATGTCAAGAGTGCAGGGTGTCCACCTACATGGCTTAGGGTGGTCTACGGTCAGTCTGTAGCATCTGATAGCTCAAGACACCCACCCAGGACCTTCTAGCACTTATTTGGGGCAAGTGGCCAGGTTTGGTGGCGATTTAGCCCTACTCGAGAAATTTCCATCTGGGAGGCCTCTTCGGGTTGTGAGATGTGGTGGTGCCTAATTTGATTATTAGAGGTCACCACATGTCCATCTGAAACCTCCCACGGTCATAGGAAGTCACGGAGTGCATATACACGCACTACAGAAAAATTAGAGTTCGGGATACCCTACCCATGCCGCGATTTAGGATGACCGTTGGCACTGATTTTGCCGGTGAATAACCAATTAAAATACTCTCATTTGAAATTATGAAACTATATTTCATTCACATAGAGTTTCCCATAACTTTAGGATTGAAAAAAAGGTCTGTCGGTCGTTCCCGGTGAAAATCAGGGTGGTCGGGCTAGACCGGCACCCCGGTGTCGTCCTGAGGATCCCACGCGCTGAAAACACATTTTTGAACCATTTAGCACAAGTCTCTGAAGGTCTAGGACCTGATTTTGACACATAAACATTTTTTCAGGTGCTTAGGCACCCAAACCGGGCGTCTAGGCGCCCAAAATAGGCCAAAACAGGTATTTTTTTTCCGAAGTTCTGGTGCTTAGGCGTCACTTTCTTGTGCCTAGGCACCATATGACAGAGAGCATGGTACCATGGCGCCACCAACATGGCGCCAGAAACTGCCGCCTAGGTGCCAATCACAACTAGGTCGCGAAAATGACTGTTTGGAGCGTCATTTTTGACCTTAGGGCCATCGAGGTTCCCTTGGATGACACAATTTACAGATTGCTGATAAAGAGATCTCCAGTTATGTTGCGTCACTTACATTCACGACCAGCTAGACTTGGGGACCTAATAGCTTGGGATGATGAATCTGTGGTATCTTGACATGTCTATCTCTACCCGATTAGGATTATGCCAAATAAAAAACTAAACCTTCAATCCAAAGCTTTGTTAAAACCGAGTTTCCATGCGTTCTGATAGTTTTTACCCGTGTTTCGTCTTCTTTATAACTTAAAATAGAATTTATTAAATTTGATTCGTGGGTGAATTTACGATCAACGGTTTTGAAGTTTCTTTCCGTCAAAATAGATATGATAAATTCAAATTTACTAAATCCTATTTATAAATTTGTGATGTAGCCAAACACCGCCTACTCTCATCACAACACCTTACGGGCGCCCGCGAATTTGCGCATATTGAGGGTATGTTTGGGGCAGTTGCAGCTCATCCAGATAAACAGTTTTTCCTAATAAGCTGTTGATGAACAACTTATCTAAATAAACCGGCTGACTGTTTGGTTTGAGTGTTTGGAAAACAGTTGATTTGCAGTTGTTTCTAAATAAATGATCATTTTGCATCTGATATGGATAAACTGTCTAATTATTTGATTTGTGCATTTGAAAAACATTTATCTACATCTTAATTGTATGCTTAATCTTATCCATAACAAAGAGGCTACGAAACTTAAACATAAGTGATCACAACAAAGCATGTATCACGCGCTTGTTAATGATGACGAACCAATCATGAATAAATGACATAGAAGAGACTTATCTCTCTCTCTCTCTCTCTCTCTCTCTCTCTCTCTCTATATATATATATATATATATATATTTTGTATCTCCTAGTACGTTTTTTTCCTGCATGTACTTTCCAACGGTTAGTTACTCTAGAGGCCCAAACAAGGTATAAAGCTCATTTTCCATCAAAATCTGAAAAGTATTCTTGCTTACCTTCTATGAAGGAAGTACTGCTTGCAAAGTTAGTAGGGACTAATTTTCAATGTCTTGAGGTTCCAAAGCAAATTCAGAGCATGCAAGAAACACACAAAATCAACATATGAAATGGTCTATTTATCAATGAAAAACTAAACACGGCTAAAAAACTAAAAAATAGGAGCAGGTTCTGTAAAAAGTGAGATCGAGCGAGCTAGCAGCGGGAGGAAGGAAAGGGTACCTGGCAACCTCGAGGCCGATTCCGCTGGTGGAGTCGGTGACGATGCAAGTAATTCCGTCGAGGTGAGGTAAGGTTATTGGATTCTCAAGATGGTTGGCTGAAATTCTCTGAAATAAGAACTCCCCACGACGTATAGCCAGCCTCTTCCCCACTCCAGCGACTCCAGCGCCTGAGCGCATTGTTACCGACCTCTTCCTATCACTCGACCACTCGAGCCCTCACCATCCCGACATCTTCCTCCGTCCGCCACACGAGGGAGAAGGGCACGGGAGGTATTTCCCGATCAAACACAGCTCTTGGAATCACGACGCGGGGTCGATCCGGCGGCCCGCTTCCTTTAATAAAACCTAAACGCCGGCAAAACACTCAAATCAAACGACATTTCTGCATTTTTAAAACACCAAACACAGCAATAACTAGCCCCAAACGCACCCTGAGTGACTGAAGATTATGAACTCCTCCTCTGTTATGTTTGTTAAACCTTGCTTACCAAACAGCTGCTTTGTCTATTGCTCAGCGGCTCAACTACGAACGGAGAGCGTGATGCCGGCAGTGACCGAGGAGCTGGATTCCCGAAGGCGTACCGGGTTGATCGATGAGATTACGAGATTGGAGAAGAAGATCTTCCCGAAGCACGAGTCCCTCGCCCGATCTCTAGAACAGGAGGTAATGAGGAAGAACAGCGGCTTGATCTATGCAAAGGAGGTCAGCGAAGGACGAGAAGAAGGAGTGATTGTAGGCTACGTTATGTATTCCTGGACATCTTCTATATGCGCCTCAATAACCAAACTAGCCGGTCCGAACGCCCTCTATCAATTCTCTATAATGATTTTTTGTTCTTCATTGTATAGTTGGGCATTTTAAACAATAGAGCACCAAGATTTCTCGTTATCTTTTTTCTGTAGATTGATGTCTTACTGTTTGCTGCCTCCCCAGGATTGGAAAGCTCATACTGGCAATTTTTATTGTTTTTGTTGCAGTAAAGGAGAGTTATAGAAGGCAAGGTCATGGGGAAGCATTGATGAAAGCTGCTATTCAGAAATGTAGAACAAGGAACGTCCAACGTGTTTGCCTTCATGTTGATCCTGAGAGGATTCCTGCTCTTCCAAATTGAGCAACTCATTGAATCTTATTATTCAGTTGATAGAAATGCTTATAGAATGTATTTGGAATTTGATGATAAATGCTAGAAATGCCAAGTTCTTTGTTTATGCATCCTGCCTGTAGAATAAGTGAAGTAATAGACAATGCTGTTTTGGAGCTTCAGTAATTTATATTTTGGCAGAGCCCTTTGCAGATTGCAAAATTGAGTTTCAAAAGCACAGTGATGAGAAGTTTAACTGTAATTCTTGTATTATTTGGCCTCATTCTATATCTAGCTGAAAAGAACAAAGAATTGGTTAATACAATAATCTCATAACATCTTGATACACTTATCATGTCATTTATTAGGAAGGAGAAAAGTGTCAAAATGGTTCCCTGAATCTTTTTAGAGGCCCATTTTAGTTTCAGATTCTAAAAAAATGTCAAATTAATTCTTATGCTTTTTTAGTGGGGGCTATAATAGTCCACTGTGGGACCATTTCAGCCCATTTTAATGAGAATCTGATGACTAATTTGATATTCATGTAGACTCATAGACTGAAATGTAAATAGTTAGGGGACTACTTTAGCACTTTACTCTTTTAGGAAGTTTAGTGAAGAAGTACAGATCACATGCATGTCCTTGCTAATCCTTGAGCTCAAGACCTCTCGGATGGGGCCAAAGCCCCCAACAAAACAACATAGGGATTGGCAGATGCCATTAGGCCATGAATAGGAGTAGATGTGTACTTGTATTGGGGAAAGCAATTTAATTGGCTGTAAAGAGAAATGTATTTACATTTTTTTGGTATATTATTCTAGTCCCTTAGCATTGATGGCTTGTGAAGAACCATACAATAGTATAAAATGTGGAATTAAGATACGGGATATGAGCATCTGCTCCTGGTCTCCCGCCACGTGGTTCCCTCGACAAATACATGTATACAAATGCAAATGCAAGCAAGCATCATACAAGGTTCAACACCGTGGTTACTTAGATGGGGTATGAGCAAACACAATGGAAAGTGGTCAAGCAACATGCAAATGACATAACTCAAATGTATACATGCTGCACACTTAACTGGTTTAGAGGCTCTACATGAATTGAGTGAACAAATGCAAAGCTTTTGACAACCAAATGGTGCCACAAGAGGTGACGGGCGCGTCCTCCTCTAGGGAAATTCACACACCACAGACTAGCATAGCTAGCCACCAGTCACCAAAGGGTTGCGAGTGTCGAGCCCCAAACACACGTGATACACATGTGGGGGGTTTCGGTGCTCAAAGAGACACCTAATATGACATGTGCCGAAGGCAAAATAACATGTAAATGAGTTCATCAAAATGCACATTAAAATATTTTTCACGCACACATGCGTGAACGCAAACCAAATCATCCACCGCATGCAGATGATTCGAAAGCAAATGCTAAACATATATTATGCGAGTGATGTTGGCCACTTAACCCATTGGGTTGATCGAGGCGGTCAATCTGGGACATCATAGCCAACAAATCAGTCGAACCAGGGGTGGCCGATTGAACCCAAGTGATCGATTGACCGGGCCATGGAGGCTGATCGAACCAAAGCAATCATTCAACCGGGCCAGGGGCGGCCGTTCGGACCTAAGTGGTCAGTCAACCGGGCCTAGGCTGCCGATCGGACCGGGGGCAGTCGGTCAGACCTAAGTGGTCTGTCTACTACGTCGGGGCGGCCGATTGGACTAATGTGCTACACACAACATGCAGAATGCAAAGACATTCATCATGACAAAGCATATGATGTCACCCAAATGCTAACGCCTAATAGCGAGTCGTAACCATCCTGGCGCTCTCTCGTAGGTACCCAGGTTTCAACACATGGATATGCGGCATAGCCGCCTCCGGCTTTGGTGACGGCTTGTGGGGAATTTCACTCTCCGATTCCTCAAAGGAGAATTTCTTCACCATTTGTAGGATGAACTAACTACAATGCTTTTTTTCATCATACAAATCCTAAGCGTTCCAAACTCTTTCATGGAAGGTTGGAATCGCCAAAACTCGGGGAAATACGGATTCCTAGGGGATTTGTCCACGACGGATTCCTATCCTAGTGGCTTTATCTAGGAAAACAACCATAAAGCCCTAATCATCTAATACAATTCTAAGGCTAGCTAAGGAAAGAAAAATGCAAGGGAACAAGAATTTCACCTACATAATGCTTGATGACATCCCCGATTGTAAGGATGTAGCTCTCCTCAAGTAGGAGAGTAGCTCCTCTCCTCCTTCTCCCAAGTGCGAGGGGAATCTCTCCTCGTCGGAGAGAAATTCGCGGTCACTGGAAGCCTCTTCCAACATAGGGAAGAAGCTCTCCTTTTAGAAGGAGACGCGTCGCTTTCCGTCTCTCTTGATAGTCTCTTCAAGCTCTCTCACCCTATCCCAATGGTTGGTGGTGAAAAAAGGAGAAAAGACGGAGGAAAAAACATATTATGGCGAACAAAAATGGAGAGAAGGAGGAGGAGGAGGAAGTTCTTCTTTGTTTGATCTTTTCTCTTCAAAATGAGCTCCCATCTTTTTTGTTTGGCTTGCTGAGACCTAGACCTCCTCCCGCTCGCTCTATTTCTCTTGTTGATAAGAGGCTGCAGATTTGGTTTTCTTGCAAGGAAATAGGTAATCCCCTTTGTAAAGCTCTTTGATCCCTTCCATAAGTTGCTTAGGAACCATGCAAAACTTTCCATTAACGGTCCCCTCCATTTGAACTAAAAAGACGTGATGCAGTAAAACTTAACAAAGAAAATGGGTTTGTGTGCATATGCGCCCATTTATCTAAGTCGCGCATTTTTTTTGGCACTTACACATCAATTGGGGGCGCATAAGTGCCCCTTTTCTCTGTTTGGGATGGATTCTGGGTGAATCTTGGCGCATAGGTGCCAATTGGGAGCGCTTAACCCCTTCTTTGGTACTCGTGCGACTCCTTTTTGGCTTGGCGCATATGCAACCATATTTGGGCGCATAGGTGTCTACACTATACTTTGGTGCTCCTTTTTAGCCTTGGCGCCTATGCGCCACTTGGGTGGCGCATATAGCGCCACCCCTTAAAAAATACATTTTTTTTTTGGTCTTTTCTTCCTTTCTTCGTTGAGGTTCGCGTGGAGTGCTCTACAGGTATTCTATCCACTAGAAATCATCGGGGATTGGAAATAAACTTCCCTATATCCGGACAGGAATCGAGGACGCGCTGTATCGAGCGAAAATCACTGCCCAGGGCCGGTATGGCCTCGACGGTCGAAAATTCATTTTTTCACCCGGGTGCCCGTAGGATGATTTTAATCGACCCAGACACTACGAGAAGTCACATATCACTCAAATGTGACTCCATAGATCAAAATGAACATTCCATAGGCTTTAATTCAAGGATTTTTGTGCCAACGGGCGTTCTGGACCCCCACACAGGTAGATAGGCTCGAAATCCAACTTTTCCTAAACATGTATGTGGGAGAATTTGATGATTCCCTTCGGCCACCGGAAGCTTCGAATAGGGGGGATATGGCCTCCAAACACTGGGGTAGGCGTTAAACATGTCTCGTATCCCGTATAGAGACCAACACTGCCCCACGATGAATTCTTCAGGGTGGGGCTAAATCGACACCAATCCTAGTTATGTACTCGAGGAACATACTTGATGGTCCGGACGAATGTCCTAAACTACGGGAAGTTGTAAACAGTCTTGTATCACTCAAGCGGACACCGACGTATATGACATCCAAAAGTAATGTCAACAGTGGGCAATAGACAATCTACTGCGGTAAAACACACAGGTGATGTTATTCTTCTTACACCAACCTGCACTCTTCGCCTTCTCTACATTTGGCATGTACATTCTCTTTCTCATAATCTTTTGTCCGTTCATAAACCCATTGTTCATTATAATGTGGCAATCCTCTTTGATAGTGCTGGTTTTCTTATCTTTGACGTGCAAATCTTACTTTGTGGCCATAACTCCAAGGGACTATACACCATTTCCTATATTCCAGCAACAATACAACACAAAGGCCGCTCATCATGCTTTCAACAGCTCCTCGCAACTCTCTACATTTTGGCATAGACGCCTTGGGCATCCTCATCCAGAAATCCTTCATCACATATTAAAGTCTCAACCAACACTTGATATTCCATCTAGCTTATCTTTATAGTTTTGCAGATGTAATAAGAGTCATAGGCAACCCTTTTCATCTTGAGCTTTAAATATGTATTCGCATCTTTAACTTATACATTCCGATGTATGGGGTCCATCCCCAATATAATCAAATCAAGTTTTTCGTTATAATGCAATTTCTATTGATGATTATTCCAAGTTGTATTGGCTCTTCCCTATGTAATATAAATCTGAATTGTCCCAAGCATGTCACTAATTTATCCTAACGATTCAAAATCAATTCAACACTAGCATAAAAATATTTAGATCTGATGGAGGGGGTGAGTACAATAATACCACACTTAAAAAACATTCATTCAATATGATATTATCCATCAATTTTCATGAATTTATACTCCTCAACAAAATGGTGTTGCGGAGCGCAAACACCGCCATTTAATTGAAACCGCTAGAACACTACCACATGATACATCTCTGCCCCTCAAGTTTTGTCTTGAAGCATTGTTAACATCTTTATATCTTCCAAAACTACTCCATGGATTACCCCCTACGAACTGCTCCACAAACAACCACCCACATTCGCTTATCTCCGTGTTTTTGGATGTCTTTGTTACCCTTGGTTGAAACCCAGAACGCCACATAAACTAGCTTATCATTTGGTACCTTGCATCTCATCCTCTCAGCATCACACAGATACTCCGTTGGTCTCTATCCCCTCCCCACCGAATCAACCACACCTACTCAGCCGACTGCAAGCCTCAACCCAAGCCTTCCCTCTCCCAACACCTCATGTCAAAGTGAACTGAAACCAATTAACCTAGCTCCCACTCACTCTATGACTACTCGAAGCAAGGCAGATACCCTAAAACCCATTCAACGCCTCAATCTACTCCATCAAATTCAGAAACAACCCGATCCCACTTCCTATTCCCAAGCCACAAAGTTTGCTATATGGGGGAAAGCCACGAGTGAAGAATTTCGTGCCATTCAAGTTCTATCCCAACCCCATTAAAGCAACTGGTTTTGGGGTGTCGTTGGGTATATTGTACCAATATAAGTCAGATGGCCCGGTGGCACGCTACAAAGCTAG